GTGATTGTATAGACTTTACATTCCAGAGAGACTTTGGCTGTTGGTATTTATATGATCTGACAAATCTCAGCGCTTTCAGAGAAATATCTTAATGACGTACTCAACATAAATTCTCAGTGTTTGTTCTCCTACAAACGACAATGAACTAGCTTTATAAAATTAGCTGTTTAACTGTGTAAATAGTGCAGTGGTGGGAAAGAGTGATATAATCCCAATGCAGACAGTAGGTCAGACAAGGTCATAAATGGCATTTAAAAGCGTAAACAGACCAAAATGAGAATCTGAATGTTGTTGTTCCTTCATCTCAGAGGATGTGTGTGTTTCATGTGGTGCTGCATAACTCTCTTTAGTGTTTTATTGAAACCAAACATTTAAATATTTATGTATGTCATATCTTTTTGATTTCTTGAGCTTTGAGTTAGGTGATTTTTAATGCAGGTACCCTTAGGAGCCATGTCAAAAACTCTTGAAGGTCCCTAGACAGCACCTTTGGCAACATGAGAAATTACTGTCTAAGCAATAGTGGAAGTCATTTAAACTTCTATCTACCAAAAAGGTATTAGCACCACCCCTCTGATTTGTGTGTGTTTTTGTTCTGACGTTTCAATAGCTCAGAGTCTTTTTTAATAATTAATTTCTAATTTCTGTTTTGACTGCTCACGTTTATATTATATGCATATCAGCTTCAACCCTATAATAGCAATTAAACAACATTTAAAGTGATCCTATTTACTTATGGTAAAGTTGGTTGTGTTCAATATAATCAGAATTTCTTTTTTTGTTGTGATGCCATTACAATTAAAATGTTTGCAGCCTGAATAAACTAACGATAATTACCTTTTTTCCTGTTTAATGTTTGCTTTTTGCATTCTCATGAGGAGTTGGAATAAGTAATCACAGTGGGGGTTTGTAAAGTATGTTTCGAGTGCCTATTCCAGCAATGAGTCAATGACTGAACAGATTCTGCTGTGATCTGGGCATGTGACATGTTCCCAGTATCGGCAAATAAGAAGCACCCATTGATCCTTATAAATATGGGTGTCAGTAGGGATCCCAGCATGCAGCAGGGACAGATTGCTGGTGGAGGCCTTTAGGGAGCAGCAGGTCGGCTGGTTGGAGGCACCAGACACTGTCTGTGCCAGGACCTACACAGGCTTGAATAAGCCCACACAAAACGTTTTCCAACTGGGCAGAACATGGCTGCCATCCAAGTATGTTGACAAAGGACAGGACTGAATACAAGTCTTTTTCAAGCTGAATGCATGCACCCTCCCCCAACGCTCATATTGCCACTTTAAAGTTGAAACAAGCTTCCAGTGCTACTCCCTTTAAAACAAGCATACATCCTTGTTTGCATATGTGTCCAGTTGTTTGTGTAGTTACAGAGAAGGTGCAGTGTGTGGCCGAGTGTGTGTTTAGCAGGTGTGGACAGATACAAGGAAGAAAAGTGACATCCCACCTCCACCCTGTAAAACATCCGTGTTTGTGTGTGTTGATACGGTGTGTTTGCTTGACTGTTTGATATGACTCTTTCTCACACACACACTGTATTTTCCGTTTGTTCCTGCTTCCCAGCTGACTCTGGAGGGCGTGTTCACTTCGTTTACTTTGCACACAGACCTCGAGACGCACCGCACTCTGGACAACTTTCCACTAAACTTTTCCACAGATAGAAGTGGCGGAAGCTCCCAGCTAAGGTAAGACAGTTTTACCTTGGGGTTTAATGTTGCCGTGTGTATTTGTGATGAACGTCAGAGAGGGAAGAGTTTAACCTTTGGTCAAAAAAGAGGAAAAGGCGACAGGTGTCCTCTCTCTCGCGCTGCCCATGATGATAAAAAGTAGTGCACAGACCTATTTTCATGAAGAAAAAATAGTGCTAACAGCCAGAAAGCGAAATTATCTCATTATCGTTGTGTACAAATGGACTCCGACTATGTAATAACTAAAAGCAAATATAAGGCTTCTACAAGAACATATTATGAGGAGAACCTATGATATTCTAGCAACTTCATTATATTATTTTTTGTTTTTGTCTTGGTGTAAGTATCAAGTTATGAAAGCTCTTGAGCACTCATGATATCCTGTTTGCCAAACTCCTAACACCAGGTCGATCACTCTGCGCATGCGCTAATTACCCGGAGGTAACTAGCCTAAAGGCACACACACCACCACACAGACACACATTATCATTGACATAAAAGTATTATATTCCGGTGCAGCCGGTTATTGAACATACAGACGTTGCTTTACTGATTTTTTTTTCCAATATGCTTCTCAGTTTCAAATCAAGAAATAGAAGCTTAAATAATAAAATGTATTTCCAAGCCTTTTTTAGGTAAAGGGTTTATATAGTGTTTAATGGAGAGAATTTGGAGCAGGGTCAGATGAAAGCCATTGAAACAGACAGGTATAGCCTTCCTGACACAACATATGTCCTTGCCGACGCATATTTCAAACTGCATTGAATATTTTGACAATGTTAACCACAAGATAAGAAGGAATAATCTACTCAAACCTTGTTGACATATGCAACATGTGAGGGGAAGTAGACAACGCTAAATTTTAAGGGGTCACAGGGCAATTTGGGAAACATGGTTAAGCATGCCAAAATGTCTTCTGAAATATATGTCAGTCCCCACAACATAACTGTAATGTATACCTTGTTTAAATGTAATGTAATATAAACAGGGCCTGTCCTGGATCTTGTAGGTTTTGTGGTCTTTCCTCCTCTCAGCGATGGAGGAGGAGCCGGTTGATTCTTCTCTTGATCTGACCTTCCTGACAGAAGAGGAGCAGTCCAGCATCCTGCAGGTCATCGAGCGGGACTTGGATCTGCGTCGTCGCGATGAAGGACGTGTAAGGTCAGAGGTGACTGTTTTTCCTATTTAGCTGCCAGTTTTGCCCACTAACATACAGAGAGGTGAAACATTAGATTTAGCCAGAAGTGGCAGGAAAGAGTAAACAGTGGCAAAACTGGTTAACCTGTTTAGACAACAACAGTCACATTTTATTCCTTTAAACTAACTATCAAAACGCACACAGACCATGGATGTTTTGTTGACAAGCCCTTCTACGTCACTACTGGACACTTCAATTACTCACTAATGCCTCTCAGGCTTTTGGCAATCTGGCTTCACTATCCTCAAGAGCCCCCAAAAGCCTGGCTTCAGTTTGGGAATTCAAAGAACTTCTCAGTTAAATGTTTTCAGCCTACAGAGCAGAGCAGCTCCTGTTATTGATCACTGGTCACCTTCTTTAGTCAGAGACACACATAGACTGTCTAAGTTAGTAGGTCTACTAGTCCCTCTGTTGTTTCCTGTGTGTGATGCATGTGTTGATTAATCTTTACACTGGGGCCTTAGCTGATGACAAAGTTGTATTATTCAAAGAGAAGTGCACCTGTTGTTTTTAATTTTGTGGGTTTATGTATTTGACACGCATGCCTTTTAAACGATAATGTATGACATGTGTATCGTTAGAGTTTTTTTTATCTATAGTCTTCATTGATTTTTAAAATTAAATTAAATTAATATCTTTTCAAAAATAGTATTTAATCTAAAAAAAGTAATTAATAAGACGGCATCAGAAATCATATATATTTCAGTATAAACAGTGATTGTTTAGTAAGCGAGACTGACATCAGCTGACTTTTGCAGATAATATTTCATGTTTGTTTGCTGTTAAACTGCTTTAAAACTTGGCCCTTTCTCCACGCTGCAGGGTCCTCCAGGAGGTGGAGACGGACCCGACCCGTATGCGCTTCCTGTCAGGGGAATGGTTCAAAGAGCAGAGTATCAAACGCCATCGCAGCCAGACGTCTGTCAGCGCACTTGTCCACTCAACCATACGCCGCAGGAAGTCCAAGACCAGAGGTCAGTTTTCAGGTATTGCAATTTTTCTATCATAGGTGTGGTGGCGAAAATCATGAAGAAATAAAACAGAAAATGTAATTTAAAATAAAATTGCCACTGAGGCACCAGTTAGGGAATCTTATGCAGGGGAATGATCCAAGTCCAGGCAAAAACGTGGTTTCCTACATTTATTTCCAATAAACAAAGTACAATGAACACTGGTTTTATATATTCTTGTCCTGCATCCTTTCCTATGGCTTTCCTTCTTTAATCCTGGTAAAAAAAAACATGTGTCTGTACTAGTGCGTTAATCCCACCACCACCTGTCTCCAAAATATACATAATCACCCAGTGCCCAAAGCTGCCCTTCAAAATAAAATCATAAAAATAACTTAATTAAACTTAAATAATAACAAAGGTATAATAAAAAAATGTTTAACTATTAATTAATATGAACCAATATATAGCTCCAACAACAGGCATGTGGGCTTTATAGGGATATCCCTGTGATGGGTCTGTATTTGTTTCCATGGTAACAGATGTGCCACTGAATGGACTGTTCAATGGAGAGAGAGAGGAAACCTCCACCAGCAATAACTCCTCTCCTGAGGCGGAGAGGAGACTCAAGGACGGCAGAGAGAAGGAGGGTGGAGGGTTAGTGAGGACATCATGTCTTTACACTTAATAACATTTTGTCAAGCTGCAGTTATTCCAAATTTGGTTGGTTGTTTTCAGGATTGAAGGAGGTTTGAAACCTGTACCCACACCCAGAACAAAAAGTCCCGTAGTACAGGTCTGTGTGTGCTTTTTGTTTCAGTTTTACCCTGCATAAAAGAAGAAATCATGTAAATACTAATAATCATCTTCAATTTCAGAGACTGCAGTATAGAAATAGTTCCTCATCATCATCCAAAGGTATGGAAGTTTCTCTCTCAATGCCTCTCGAGCTCTCTTGATAGTCTCTTGCAGTGTGATTATTCATTTTCAACTCTTTCTGTTCATAGAGTGGGAAAGAAGAAGTAATGGCCACTCAGAGGAGCCTGAGGTGAATTATTTAAATGTCTAAATCATTCACACATTTTGCTTTTATAACAGTAGAGTTTGAAAAGTAGTTCAATTATATGATAATGAGTATACCGGATGTGTGTGTGTGTGTGTGTGTGTGTGTGTGTGTGTGTGTGTGTGTGTGTGTTTAGGATGACTTTGGCGGTCACGAGGACAGTGACTCTGTGAGCAGCTTCCTGACAGAACCAGATCCAGCTTCTCTGAAAAACAGCAGCTCCAACGGCAGCATTCATTCAGGCTACACGGTACACACACACACACACACACACACTCACACTCACACTCACACTCACACACACACACACACTCACACACACACTTGATTAATTTACTATCCAGCGACGCAAGATGACTCAGCTCGGACAGTGACGTAGGTGCTGATCGCTGTTCTGCGTGTGTTACAGCTCAGTGGCAGCATGATGAGTCTCTTCAGCTCAGGGGATTTTGGAGTGGTGGAGGTGAGGGGCCGAATCCAATTCTCATTGGTTTATGACACCCAGAAGGAGGAGCTGCAAGTCAAAGTCTATCGTTGCGAGGACATCGCTTCAGCGCGGAAGAACCGCTCTGACCCGTAAGTGACGGTGAATGTGCATCTTGCAGCAACAATGTCCCATACCTAATCAATCAAAAAGTGTCTGTGTGTGCACTTTACAGATATGTTAAAACCTATCTCCTGCCGGACAAGTCGAGTCACAGCAAGAAGAAAACTGCAGTGAGGAAGAAGACATTGGACCCAGTGTTTGATCAGACGCTCAGAGTGAGACACTCTCATTTACATATTGCATTCAGTGGCAGCCTTCACAGAAATCCCCCATTAGCCATCTGTCTCTCAGCTCTTCTCCAAGTGTCCTGCAACATGCACTGCAGACGCTTAACTCTGCAGTCACAAATACCTCTTATCAATAAATTACCAGATTTAAATATACATCTTAGGGGACAGAGAACCTGCTGTGCTTTATCTTGCAGTTGCCTCTCCGCCTAAATCTTGTCCCCTCTCTTATAGTATAAAGTACGGGTTGGAGAGCTGCGGAGCCGGACCTTGAACCTCTCCGTGTGGCATGCCGAGCCCCTGGGCAGGAACGTGTTTCTGGGGGAGGTGGAGATGTCTCTGAGCCACTGGGACTGGACCTCCTCTCTGCCACTTTGGCAGGACCTGCAGCCAAGGGTAGAGAAGAGCACAGAATGATTTGAATGCAAATAGACAGTCATGCAGTCACATACATCAGTTTGAATTCTCCCAGTACAATATTTACCTAAACACTATAATGTCTGCATCTAGATTTGTTTAGTAGAGTGTATGTAAATGCACACTTGGTTGCAGACACAGAGTACAGGGATGAGTGTCTCTTGTGTCTGGGAGAGCTGAAGGGAGGCATGCTGTGAATTTCAACTAAGGTTTTATGTAAGCTTCATCTTTTCCTTCTTCCACACGTCTGCCCCCCCTCCCCTGGCTTTTCCTTTCTCCTTCTTTCTTTGTCTTTTTTCTGCCTTTTACTATTTTCTACTTCCCCTACATCCCCACACCACAGGTTAATTTGAATCCAGACTCTATTAGCAGTCGCGGGACCCTCCTGCTCTCGTTAAAGTTCATCCCAGACGGATATGAGGGTGAGCACAGCACACACTTCAGGAATGCAAGTGATGTCCCACCTTAATCACACATCTTGTACCTTTGTGTATGTGTGTGTGTGTCTGTGTTAAGGTGGTGGACTGCCTCTGACAGGAGAGCTTCACATCTGGCTTCGGGAGGCTCAAGGTCTCCTGGCAAACAAAGGCGGCGTCATAGACTCTTTTGTCAGGAGGTACGTCAGCTCGGCAACCTTTTTCACGACATTTTGTCATCAGGGATTGATCCTGGCAACAGTTTTTACTTGAAAGAATTATAGATGTTACATTCTCCAACTTTACAGGCACAGTTATTACCATGGTTATTTCGTTTTTCTTACATCAAACCGAATTTTAACATGGATTGACGGTTTCATTTACAAGCTGTTCAACTATTTATAAGGTCCTTTATATCCAAACAATTCAACTTGAAAGGATTTAAATTATAAAGTAAAGTTTACAAAAAGTAACAAACCCCCAGCCTAACTGGATAGGATTGTATCCATATCATTTATTTAAAAAAAGAGGCCATAGAGTACTCAAGGGTATTGGGTGCAGTTGTTATTTGTGAGTACAGTATGAGTCTTTATCTTAATCCCAATGCTCCCTAATTTTCTCCATCATTGGTGTCCATCTCTCTATTAAGAAATCCTTTTTGTAAGCATTAAGGTAATTAGGTGGGACGATCCTTAAGCCATCATGTTGTAATTCATTCATTTGGTTCTTTCTTTAAAATCTGTAAAATGTACATCCTTTTTAAAAAATGTTTTAAAGTAAATTACATACAGTTTACATCAAAAAATTGCAATTAATATTTATTAAATGTGTAAATGTAGAGTTTTTAACAGGCACACATCCTGCATACAACATAAACAAAGCCTAATTCAATTCAAACACTTCCATAGTCCTGGTTTGATTCTGAATTGAATTGTCTAATTTTCATAATCTAATCCCCACAAGCTACATACTCCCAGATGCCAGTCGGCAGAGTGGTCAGAAGACGCGGTTGATAAAGCGCTCCTTCAACCCGACCTACAACCACACCATGGTGTACGACGGCTTCCACTCCAGCGACCTGAGAGAAGCCTGCGCAGAGCTCACTGTCTGGCAGCGCGATGGCTTAAAGCCACGCGTCCTGGGGGGGGTTCGTCTGAGCTGTGGAACTGGTGGGTGTCGCTTCACCAAATCACATCTACACTAATGCACCAAATTAAAATCTTAAAAATGATTTCTCTGCAGATATTGGACTATTAACTTGTGTGGCTGCCGGGTGTTTTACTGTTTCATTATAAGCACACAAAAGTGAACATTTCAAAGTGCCCTATATTGCTCATTTTCAGGTTTCATATTTGTATTTTGTGCCTCTACTGTGACATGTTTACAGGCTTAAAATTGTTCTCATACTGCCTGTACTGCAGCACCTCTTTTCACCCTCTGTCTAAAACCAGAGCCCATTCTGATTGGTCAACAGCTTAGAGATTTCCTGCTCCTTAGCCTATCATGTGCAATGTGTTTGTATGCTAGCTAATAGAAGCGCAAGTGTTACATAGTGATGTCACTATGTTATGGAAGTAAACAAAGGACAACAATGGAGGTGTTTCAGGTAGGTGGGGGTGTGCGGGAGAGAAAGTTTGGGATTTTAGCCTTTGCAGACCATTACCATGCACAAAAACCTTTATAACATACTACAGTCAAAGGCAAAACCCAAAAAGCATAATAGGGCCTCTTTTTAAAAGCGTGCTCATTGGTCAGGGCTCTTTCTAGTTTGAGTGCAGCCCTCGGTGAGGGATGATATAATAAGCGATCAGATAGGGAACAAAGCAGATTCTCGTTCTGAAAGCAGCAGTCGGTGTTGGTGGTTACGGACAGTGTTTGTTCTCCTGTGCTGCAGGCCGTGTGGCGCCTGGGCTAAAGGGAGGAACTTATCTCATCCCTTATCAAGTCACACTCAGTTCCGAGCCTTTGTTTGGCAGTGTGCTTTTTTAATTAAATCACTCGTGTTTATCATAGGCTGTCTTCTATGAGTCAACAGGTGACTGGAGACTCCCTAATATAAAAAGTTTTGCAAGGTTATAAATAAAGCTTGAGAATTTGCTGTCCAAATGTAACTTTTCAAAGCTGTGATTAAAAATGAAATGATATCTCACGATATCACTTGACATTTCTTAGGCTTGTAGGAGGGAACCAGCTTCAGTGTCAGGGGATGAGACATTAAAGAGGTGTTTGTTTGGTTTAATTTATGGTCATCTTTGAGGACTATGCCGTAAATCTGTTTTTGCTTCATCTCCAGTGTTGATTTGGAGTGGTGTAGTGTAGATGTGTATTTCCTTCCACTGCTTCACATTGCAATGCATTTTGTCCAGTTGGCATTTCAGGCATTTCAGATGGTCAGAGCAGAGAGAGGTCATTTCTAGGTAAGCATTGTTACTGTGCAAAGCCAAATAAGTGGAAAACATTATGTTTTCTGATCATTTAGGTGTTGAGAAGTCGTTTTTGATAGTGTTCGTTTACTCAGTTGGTGCTTAATAGGGAGTGTGTCGAAATCACCACTGATAAAACGTTGGCTCTGTGGGAAGTGACTTTTATGATGAAGTTTTGCTTGTTGTGTACACACACTTAACATAAAGTTGATGCATTAAGAGGGCAGGGCCTACTTCTGTAGAGTTTTGGGATTGTTAGGCTTCACTAGGGCTGAACAACATCAAATAAAGACATTGTGATTTGGTCATTTTCCAAATCGCAGGAGGTGCAATATTTGTTAAAGGCACATTATGTCGAAATACCTTTCTGACTTCAGTATTCTGGTTTCCGCAGATATATAAAAGGTTTAAAATATTTTCTATTGACTTGAAGAAAAAAGATTCACTGTTGCAAAAAACGAACAATAATAATTTATATATATTTTCCAATGAGAATGATGATATAAAAATTATAATTCCCTCCAATATTGTGAATCATATTGCAGTTTAACATCAACATATTTGCCATGAGATTGTTTTTCCAAACCCTTCAGTCGTGGTTGTTGCTGCTTTCAGCTATAGCGGTATATGTGAATACATTACTGCAGTGTGGTGACTTGTTGGGATTGTTTCCTCTGCCTCATTAAGAAAGGCATCATTTCTCTTTGTGCCGATTGTGGTGAGGATTTCTGTGGTAACGTCTTAACATAAATAATTAATAATTCTGTGTGCTTTTGTATTAGGTCAGAGTTATGGGGAGGCTGTTAGCTGGATGGACTCCACAGAAGAGGAGACCGCATTGTGGACCTCCATGATTGACAACCCAAACCACTGGGTCGACGCAACACTATCAATCAGAACTAACCTCGCACCCCGGTCCTAGTGACCCAGAGTCAGACACGCCCTGCTCACACACACACGTTCAAATAATGGCTGGACTGAAAAAAAGACACCCCTCCGCACATTTAACCTCTCTGTCACACACAAATGGAAGCCAGTAGTAGTGCAATATTGTGAATTAGTGGCGTAGATCTGAAATATTTAGTTTTAAAACCAAATCTATCTGCATTTCAAATGTTTTATTCGTATGTTTTTGGTTCAGTGTGTGACAAAAGTGTTGTAATCAGATGTAGTTTATTAATTAAATATCAAACCTGAACTGATGAATCACCCAGTGTTCTTATTTGCATATATCGAGTGAACTTCCTTATGTACAGACAAGCACAAAACAGGCCTCACTGAAGATATACAAGGGGAGATCACATTGGCATCAAATAAACCAAAAAACGAATACACAGACCAGGAAAAATATAAACCAACAAATATAATAAATTAAAAAACAGTTACAAAAACAGAGTAAGTTAAAAATAGTCATGTATTTATATCATGTTGTTTCCCAGACCTCTAAAACTATTTGAGCATGTTAGAAAAATAGGCCCTAATCGCCTTATAGTAAAGAAACATCTATTCTTATTCAGACAATTGTAATTATTAGATATTCAGCTCTCATTGCTTTAATTGGGCAGGGTAGAAAAGGAAAGGCCTGCAGTTGCATGAATATTCTTTACTTTTTGATGGATTACATGACTGCCACCTTGTGGTCAGACTTTATACTTACTAAATATAGTTTTCAGGTAAATTACAAAGAGGACAATGAAGAATAGGGTAAATATAACAAGACCAGTGTTGTAATGTCTCCTCTTTTTTAACATAAAAACAAACTGTTCTCCATCCATCCATCCTCCCATGTATCAAGTACAGACAGTGGATTAAGGCATTTATCATATAAATCAGAACTCCTGTCCAGCAGATGGCGATATTAACTTCCCTGCTTCAACTTGGTATGAGACCGGAAGTGTCTGCTTTTCAAAATAAAGTATCGTCAAGGGGATTGTCTTGTGATTTAATCCTACACATAGTTCATCATGGATTACAGCCTTTGGTGGTTATAGATAGGCCCATCAGTGCTCTTAGGATCATGACATTTTAATTGATAATTTGAATGTTACAAACTGACAGTTGCTTGCTTTTCAGTGATGTGGTTATTGTTGTTATGTATGCATCTTATACAATGTCGTATAATTTTTCATCGATTTCCCTAATTTCCTTTCAACTGTTTTCAAGCCCTGTTTGTAATTGGAAACGTTCATGTGCAACTAAGTATACTTTTATTTTGAAATTAGCAACCGGGTGTAGTTCCCCTTTATTTCCGTGTAGCTTTTTGAGCTGTCACAAGTTTTACACAAAGGGAACACCGGTGGACTGTGTGCTGTAGTTGAGGGTTGAAAGTGGATTAAAATGTCTGAAATGCAGCTGCTGAGGCTGTTCATCAGTGAGAGGCTGAGTGTGGCTGCAGAGGAGATCTTCTCCGCGGTGCAGAGGACCATATCTGAGCAGAGATCTCAACAAGACGGTGACCACCGGCATGGACTCAAACCGGAAGTGCAGTCCGGAGGTTTGTTTGGTTTCTGTTTTCAAATGCTTAAGCAGTCTTAAAGACGGTATAACGTTACACAGGTGTGATACATGTCCACCCCACTCACCTTATGAGGGTTGGCTTGATAACAGAAACACATATTGCTATAAAGTTCAACAGCACCAAAGACTATAACATGAATTTAGGTATGAAAAGGGTCATGATCATGATGTTGTGTAATGCCAAAGTTTTTGTCCCTGATTAAAAAGTGTTTGTCAAATATAATATATTAAAAGATATTATTGCAGCCCTAATACAAGGTGGGAGATGACATGCAACAAACTCAAACAACTTTTGATTGCATGCATTTTAAAACACTCAGACAGCAGCTCGAAGACAAGCCAGAGAAAAAAACTTCAAATTATGGAAGTATAAAGTCTTGGAAGTGGACTCTCCTTATAGCTTACTTTTCTTTAATACAACAAGACAGGATAATATAATGCTGAAATAAAACTGTAATCCACAATTACAATTTCTCTTTTTTCCTCTTAACAGAGACGCCACATGGATTTATCAGTGCATATGTGCAGACACACCATGAAACGGATTGGAGTCCAAAGAGCTGCCACAACAACCCCAGTTTGAAACAGGAGGAGTGTGGCCTGCTGGTCCCAGACCCTCCAGCTATCAAACAGGAAGAGCCATGGAGCAGTCCAGAGGGAGAACAGCTACCAGACATGGAGGACACCAGCACTTTGAAAGTGACGCCCACCTTCATTTACTCAGCCATGACTGAGTTACAAACTTATGACACAGGAAATGAAGACAGAAACGCACAGTCAAGCAGTGAATGTTGGAATAATTTGCCAGATCGTTCTGTAACTGTGAATAACATGGGGCCTAAGCAGGGTTTAGCAACAGTGACAGAGTACAGTATTGGAAACATCCACACGCAGAGCCCAACAGGGAAAAAACAGTGGACTAAAAGTTGTGAACCAAACAGCCCAACTTCATCAAAAAAAGAGACAAATACAAGCAAATCATACTGCTGCAGTTTCTGTGGCAAAGAATTCAGGCGAAGTGCACACCTTGCCACGCACACTCAAATCCACACTGGTGAGACGATGTACGTCTGTGAGTTGTGTGGTAAAGAGTTTCGACATGGCAACAGTCTGACTGCGCACATGAGGATTCACTCGGAGGACAGGCCACACAGATGCAGGATTTGTGGAAAAGAGTTCCGCCATGTTGGCAACTTGAACGTCCACACGAGAATCCACACAGGAGAGAAACCCTACGCCTGCACCGTGTGTGGAAAGAAGTTCAGTCGGAACAATTTAATGACAAAACACATGGAAGATGTTCACTTGGCATGACATTAAGCAGAATATCCAATTTTCTGTAAATCTGTCCTTACTGTATGAAATGGTAATACTATAAAGTAAAACATGGTAGAAATGGCTCATGATGGGTTACAATAAAAGCTGTAAATTGCCTATATAATTGTTCTGTAAATTGATTATGGTTATAAGCAAGAAATTATCTTTCTATGTGTAAAATCTTTGGACAGATAACACTTTTCAGTATAACATAATGTCTCTTTACGTCATCTCACTAATGATGCAGAGGTTATCAGTGGTGGTATAAAAGTATTTATTTGTTTCCTTCTTTTAATGATGCATTCTTATAAATATAATCCAGCCACAAACATAATCCAATAAAATAATGTATATTATTTTGAAGTGGGCCACTCTGCATAATGAGTGTTATTTATTACTTAAATTAGGATTTGTCAAATATCGGAATACCTGAATTGAAATGTGTAATCCAAACTGTTTGTAAAAAGTGCCTGGTTTGTGAAGCTGTAACCGATTGTTAATAAACGTGAATTAAAATGCAATTTATTTTTCGATGCAGTAGTTTATATTCAAGTGTCGAAAATAAAGCCTTTTTCCGCTGTTGCCATGGCGACAGAAAGTAAACACCGCCGCTGTTGGAGCAGTAGTGTTGTTGCTGTCCGGTGTCCACACTCAAAATCTGTCCGAAATGTCTGCTATGAACAGAAAGGTGATACAAACTCTGGCTGAAACTATATCAAAGCACGCGGAGCACTGTGAGTATGCGCTTCAAACTTAATTTAATACGTTATATCTCATGCTACGATAGTCCTTTGTGAATCTTCCGCTATTCTACAAGTGTTGCGGTTTTTACTTGACGTACCAGCTACGATGAAACTATAACAAAACTTCACACAGTTAATTGATGAGAGCGATTATGATCCCAGTCAATAAAACAGAAGTGGAGTTCCTCATCCGGGAGTTCAACGTGCTGCTGGGGGAGCAGACCGTCTCTGGAAGAGCAGTGCCCGGCCTGGACAGAGGGAAGTTCAGGAGCATTCTGCACAACATCTTCGGGATGACCGACGACATGATCATGGATGGGGGTGATCTCTCTACTTCAGATGCATTTTAATGACAGATATTTTATATTAGGATAACCAGCAGCAGTACATAAGCACCTACAATAGTGTTATATTGTCAGAGTTTATAGATTTTTCATCTTCACAGTCTACTGTATATTTTCAACTTTTTAATACTGTTTTAATTCTATTTTGAGATGTTTCATTTATAGTATTCTTAATTTATACTCTTTAATTTTATGTGCAATGCCTTGTTTTGTTTTGTTGCTGCTGCAATTAAAACATTTCCCAATTTGGGATCAATAAAGTACATCTTATCTTAATTGCTGAAATTGTTTTTCGGTTCCCCAGTTTTCAGGACATTTGACAAAGACAACGACAGCTTTGTTAGTATGAAAGAATGGGTTGAGGGACTGTCTGTATTCCTTCGAGGGACCTTGGAGGAACAAATCAAATGTAAGCTCTCAATCTTACTTTTAGTCTTTACATGTGAACAAATATATAAAACTATTATCCAGGTAATAACTCTTTCCCTCTTTGCACGGCTCAGACTGCTTTCATGTGTATGACTTGAACGGCGACAACTATGTCTCCAGAGAGGAGATGTTCCACATGCTGAAGAACAGCCTCATTAGACAGCCCACAGAGGAGGACCCTGACGAAGGAATCAAAGATCTGGTGGAGATCACACTTAAGAAAATGGTGAGGCGATTATGCTGTTTGACTTTTTATTTACTTCTTCATAATGTTCTCTGCACCACCTCCTCAAACCCCTGAACATCAGATTTGAGTGTTTCAGCGGGAAATAAGCGAGAAAAAAAATTCCGTTGTGTACATACCTCACTGATTCATGGACACAACTTGAGAAAAGCACATTGTTGTTTATATTTGTAGGACTATGACCACGATGGTAGACTATCGTTTACTGACTTTGAAAAGTCAGTAAGAGAGGAGAATCTATTACTTGAGGCTTTTGGAACCTGCCTCCCTGACACTACGGTACGTTTAAATCAAAGACTGACAAACTATAATAACTTATTACTTTTTATGACAGATATCCTTAATCTAATCCATTTCTTTTTCTGTTTTCAGAGTATTGAGTCATTTGAGCATCATGTGTTTCAGGAACAACTTGAACAATGAAGAGAAATTGCATTCATGTGCATTTTCAGATATCTAGTCTTTAATAAAAACATAAATAGATTTTGCAGTGTGGTACAACATGTGAAAATAAAAACAAGCTGCCAAGAGAAAATGTTTGAATGGTGATTTTCCAAAGCAGTAATTTCTGCATACATTTCAGCATCAAGGCAGCTCTCTAAATCAAATCCGACGACGTGGTTTCACCTTTTTCTCCACTGGTTTGAGGTCAGGAACTGATTCCACCTGAGAAAGATTACAACAAAATTACTCAAATACACAAATAAAAAGGCATTAAATCTGCAGTGAAGTCTTCATTTTATTTTTTGATTTTATTAAACGATGCTATGATCGGTTACCTTTTTTAATGTGTTCCTGATCAGGTTTGCAGTTGTGTTTAATGACACATCCTCCATGTCCAGTTTAGGAGGTTCTGGTAGCTTTGGCCCAATAAGTGGCTCATTGTTTATAGTAACATCAGTCAGTGAGTGATCTGCCGCTTCTTCCATTCTACGTTTCCTGTTCTCCAAGTGTGTGGTCCTGGGGACAAATCGGACTGCTGCAGGAGCCTGATTTAAGGTCAGTCTTTGTTCAGTGCCTCTGTCTTTGTCTAAAGATGCTTGGCAGGAGCTTGAACTCTGAGGTTCCAGGCGTTTTGTGTCAATGATGGCATTATGTAATGTCCCCATTTTGTCTTCTGTCGGTATAGTCCAATGTGGATTTCCATGCCTGTAGTAATGATATTCCTGGGGAGGAAATGGCAGTAGAGGAAAGCCTGAATAATGGCAGATGTTTGAAGTATTCCCTGTATTATCAGGAACAACGGTTTTCTCATGTCTGGCAATGACCGTCTCTGATGTGGTGGCCTTTTCTGATGAAGTGGGTTTCTCGTTTACGGCCTCCTTCTGTTCTTTTTTTCTTGCTTTGAAAAAAAACAAAAAACAAAACATAGAATCAGTCTTTACAACTACAAAGATCAAATGAAACCTCTGTATCATATGAAAAATCTGGCTTATTTCATTCAGTAAGTCATGGTAGATGAATATACAATATAGTACATATCTATAAGTACATACATATTGTTTTTACTCTAAAAGAATAAGTCTGTATTTTATGAAAAGTGTACCTTTATTCCGAACAGCCCATATTATATATCTCCTCCTGTCCTGCAGCTTTAGCCTGGTGTCTTCCACAGTCTCATACTCTGGGACGTAGCACACATGCAGCAGACCACCGTAAAAACTCTTCTCATCCATGCGTCGTTTTGCTGCTCTGAAACCCAAAGTTAATTTATTTAGCAAGTCTTTTCAACTGATCCAGCATTATGAACAATGTTGTGTGTTACACCCTGTACCTGGCGCTGGTGAGTTTCTGGAACTTTACCAGGTAGACCTCTGTGAACTCCTCAGCAGGGTACTCGTCCAGGGGCTTGTACTCCTCCACAGCCCCGTACAGAGCACACAGCTGGATCAGCTCTGGCATCACTCCTATGGCTGGGACCCCTTGGATCATCAGGTAATTGGACTCTAAATTGATGGTGTATACCTGATGATGCATAAAACAAATAGGATTACACATGCTCCATAATGTATTGGCCACACACTGATATTATACGTAGCTCTGACCCACACAATGAATAACTGAGGAGTTTTTATTTTATTTTAAGAAGTCTAAAAGGTATTTTGCCCTCGAGCTAACGTAAGCTAAACCCGTGTCTCGTAGCTTAATATATAATGTGTTTTTCTTACTTATATTTAGCATATTCTTACCTTAACAGCTCTGTCTCTCCTCCCATCTCTATATTTAGGTCGAGAAATGCATATTTTCTTCTGTTCGTGGTGTTTATAGACATCTGGGACGCCCCAACAACTTGAATTGTTATTGCGAGGCGCCGCCATGTTTCTAGAGATAACTTTCCGGTTGGCGCCCTTCAAAATAAGAGTTCATTGCTTTTCGAATACGCATGCATCGATTGCGTTTCCATGTGTAATATCTTATTTTGAAACGTGATTCAGATTGATTTCAACTGCTTTGGTCTAGTTTCGGAACACACAGAGCACATCGATCGGCTGTGAGTTTGTTTATTTAACGCTTAACGCTAGCAAAGTGGATTTGCAGAGCTAACGTTAGTCAGGCTATGTGAAAATAATGTTTACTAGTCAGGGCATTCAACCCGTAACTGTTGTATTTAGCAACACAAAAAACTGCTTTCTTCATATCTCTTCGAAGTTAATATCGCATCTTTCCTTGAACGAGGTAAGTTAGCTTAGCCAGCTATCCCACTGTCAGTGTCAACTATAATAATCATTATGGAAGTTTAGATTTGTGACACATTTTTAAAGCAAGAAATATATGTCTGTTTTTAAAAATAGGGTTTCATGTGTTTGTAGAAGTATGTTGGTTTTCTTCCTGATCATTATATATGATTTGTTTTGCTGTCAAAGTTGCATCCAAATGTTTACATTAACAAATGACTCAAGGCCAGCCCCATCATGTCAACTTGCTCACTAGCACAAGGGTTTATTGTAAAACATGGCATCCTCTGCAAAAACAATTCCTGAGAGACTTACCTAGGGTTGGCTATAAAGTTATCTATATGTAAGTCGCTTTGGATAAAAGCACCTAACATGTAATGTAATGTAATGTAATGTAATGTAATGTAATGTAATGTAATGTAATGTAATGTAATGTATCCTTCAACATAAGGAACGAAGAAGAAAGAGTTGAATGTCAGCAGAAGCGATGAGACATTGAATCCATGTGGTTTCTCATTAGGTTTAATGACAATGCATCCAAACTCATAACAAACATCAGTAAGCATACATGAAACATTGTCTTTATGTATTTTAAAGTATTCGTCACTATTCCATGTTGGTTTTACCATTTTAGTAGTAGTTCCCTTTAAGTCTCACTTGGTGGGGACAAAACTTAATATTTTAAATGAAACCGGAGACTGCCAGTGCATTTGTCTACATCCTGTTTCACTGTGGCCAATTTGCAACATTATAAATCCCCATGAAAAATAACATATTTCAAATTTTTCTGTGTGATTCAAGGTGAGGTTGATGTTGAGAATAATTGGTTTGACCCTCCTCTTCTTCAGTTAGGAATATAACTTGAGAAAGCTCCATCCTTGAGGCTGGAAAATGTCTTAAATAAACAAAAAAGGAAAATAATGACGATTATGCTGCAGAAATGATGTGCATTGCCATTATTCCAATGTAGTGTTCCATGCAATTAAACATTTCCAATCAACTCTTTGCGTTTGTGTTCAGAACCAGGCTTTGGAGTTGTCCTGGGGCCATGGATCCCCAGTATTTCTCAGCTGGACTCAAAACAGATCCTCCTCCAGCCTGGACAGCCATAAAGTGGAGCTGTGTCGACAACTGGGAGAAAAACTTGGCCTGAAGGATGGAGAGCAGGTACAGCTCCACAAAATGCTATTTGTTCTGTGCTCTGTTTCACACCGAATATTCTATGATTTACATGACACATGCTGGCAGCCTTTTGACAGTTTAAAGGAAGTGTCAGTTGCTGTATGGCTGAGTATGTGTTTGTATTGACCGACTGTTGTGTGGTTTCTCTCAGGGCTTCCTGAGACCATGTCACCAGGTTTCATCTGTGCATCAAGTGTTTGTGGAGCCTCTGTCATTTGATGACTGGGAGATCTTGGTGAGTGAGTTTAATTAATAACATTAGTTACCCAATTCTTGGTGAAAAATACAATGCAAATGTATCTTCTGACAATCTTCCCACTACAAACGAATACACAAGGGATGTACTTGTGACCCAAATTCACATCAAACTGTTTTATTCTCTGTTTGCTGTGATTGACACCCCCAGGAGCTCCACAGTGCAGCGCTGGAGCAGCATCTGTTGGATCAGATCAGAGTTGTTTTCCGAGATGCCGTGTTTCCTGTGTGGGTGGACAGCCACACAGCCATCTACATCAAAATAGGTCAGAGTTAATCCAATAATTATCCTTTGTTGGTAGAAAATAGTATTTGAATCGGCTTTTTGTCTTCTGCCAATCTGAGCAATTCATGGGGAGAAAAAAACCAGAGAAGCGCTTTGATTGAAAACCATATTTGTGAAGGCAAATGTGAATGTTCTGTGAGGACAGTATTCATAAACACAGTATGTTCTGTTCTTAACTCTTTGCAGCATCGCTTTCGCCATCTGTGCCATATGGTCGCTTGGAGCAGTTCACAGAACTAATTGTCTCTCCTAAAATCCGCGCTGGGATTGGCAACCTCAATGGCTCTCCAATGAGACAGGACGAGAAGCAGCATTTTCCCGGACAGCAAAATATGGATCATTCCTCCCCTTCTGGACCATCATTAGAAAATACCTCCCCTGTCCCTCAAAGCCACCAGTGGGGCGGCATAGCTGACCTGAAGAGCCTGCTACGCTTCATGATTAAGGGAACTTACGACCCAGTTAAGGAGCTGCCACCTGTACCTGATGTGCCTGCCCTCTTTCCCGACTCCATCTGCAGAGTGTGTGGTGTACCGCCCGACTCTCTTTGCACTATAAGCCAGGTTGCAACAGCCGTTGTTCATTTATTTCCTCGGAGCCACGGGTCAAATGCTGTGCCAACTGGAGGTCAGTCGTCAGTGACTTATGGCCTGCTCTCAAAAGTTCTCTCCCCTAAAGAATCAAGGGACAGAGCCAAGCAGGCCATGGAGAAAAAGAAGAACGCAGGAGTTACTAAAGTGACAGAAGGAAAGGAATTGAATGAAGAAGAAGAAGCCATAGTGGTCAGGGTGGTCTGCCATGATACTGAGAAGCAAACAAGCAAGGAAAACAGTCACAGTCAGGGAGAGATCCATAGTGGAAGAGTATGGGTGAGTACGCTGTTCATCTAATTTAGGGTTAACTATGTTACTTTTACTGTACTGTAGCTCAGCCATCTTCTTCTTTATATGCTGTCATGTCTCTAACAATAATTGTGATTGTCAGATCCCTCAGCCCCTTGCCGTCAGGTTGAATATCATCCCACATTCAACAGTGAGAATGAAACCGGTGAAATCAGCTATCAAAGT